CAAGTTCCTTAAATCCTAGTTTTACAATCCACTTTAAAAGAATTTCTAAAATTTTCTAAAATAGTTTCATAAGCTGTTCTATAAAGATTAACCTCTGAAAAATGAAGTATTTAGGACTTTTGGAATGAAATGGAACTTTGTGTCTTTGATATTAGCCACCAAGTAAATTATCCAAAGGGGATAGGAGGTGTACAATTTTTAGAAACACAACAGATTGTCAATGTTTAAATTTTGATGGGTCACCACTGATTAAATCGAGTTAAGTCCTATTTGATTAGAAAGAACTCCAAAATATTTTAAAGCATATCCTTGTCTCTGAATAATCCTAGAAACCTGAATGTACATTTTCATAATTAGAGGAATATGCATGTTCATTGTGAGCATACCACACACTTCTGTGCTTTGTTTTTTCCTAAGAAAAAAATCAGATATATTAAAAGCAGTTTCAACTTTGGCTATATTATGCAACTGCCATTTCACCTAAGTTACTGAAGAATTTTTGGAAAATATTTTTGATTTTCAAAAGCTTTTGAAAGACTGCACCTAATGTGTTTTAAGTAAAATCCAACTCATTTTCAAAGCATGATTAAACAATCATTAGGTCAAAATGGCATGGTCCCCTCCCTCACAAAACAATCCAATTCTTTCTTCAGGTATCAGTAAATAGCAACAGGATGATTAAGGCATAATTGCTTTTTCAGGAACAATTTACTAAAAATAAAGCCAAAAAGCCAAAAATAAAGCCTCTCCTTCTCAAAAAGAGTATATTCCAGACACCCATTTAAACAGGTTCTTTCTTAAAGATAATGGAGATGTTTTCTTGTTGTCAAATAAGAAATACATTGTTATTATTTCGTATTCACCTTTTAGTTGGTTTTTACTTTAAGATTTATATTGTTGAATAAAATATTCCTCAGTTAAACCTAAGGAGTTTTTTTTTTCAGTCTCGTTTTAGATATTAAAATGTATGGGGGAAGGGAAAGTGTGGAAAATATAGAATAACTTGTTGAGAATTTGATCGGTTTTCAATTAAGGAATTTTATAAAGATATCTTGTTGCTGTTCTTAAATTAATTCTGCATCAGAAGCCAAGTGATTTTTTTGGTTTTGAATAGTAATGATACAGATTTTCTTTACCAATAATGTATATATTAACTACATTTAATATATCAGATACATTTTATTTCTGTATCTAAAGAAAACCTTAGTGCCTGTTAATGCTTAATAACATCAGTAACAATTCTGCCAGTGAATTTCTCATTTATTTTCACAATCGAAAAAAGTTTGTGAACCTGCTATTTTGAACAAAATATATGAAAAAACCTAGTAATTTTCTTTTGACACAATAAATGAAACCACTGCTTTTTGCTCTCAATAATGTAGCAGACACGAATTTGTTGACATTGTCTTTTTACCTGTTTTTCCTACCGCGTTAATAACTCTCTAGCTTTAAGGATTCCCCCCCAAAAAATGTTTTCACCATCTAAGAAAATGTCTCCATATACTCTCAGTAGCTACTGAATACTGAAAAGTTCTACAACAAACGAGGTTACTTTACTGAATCTTTTCAGAGCTTCAGTAAATTAATGCGGTTCTCCTGGGATGGTTTTAAGTTTTAAAATTCCTTAAAAATCACAAATATGAGTTATCTTTACCCACACGGCACCTCGCACATGTTCACGTTAAGGGTAAACTTTTTTGCCTCTGGGGTTCGAGGAGAGAATACACGCTATGGGTAAAAAACACGAAGATTTCGTTGAGCACGCCACGAAAAAAACTGTTGACATCTTAACATTGCTAAATGTTCTGAAGTTGCTAAATCTCCTTAAGTTGCTTCACTTCAGTCACGAACACCAAAACCCAAACCAGACAAACCTCTCTCCCCCGGGAGAAGGGCGAAGGGCGAGCTGAGGGCGGCTCTGCCCATTAACAGGTGGCCGGCCGGGAGGGGTTTGGCGCTCCCGCCGCCGCCGCCGCCGCCGCCACTGCTGCCTCCCGAGGACGCTCCGCTCGCGAGGGCGCCCTCACCTCACTGGGCCTGGCCACCTCCGGCCGCCCCCACGCCGGCCAAGCACTCACCCTGCTCCCCCCAGCTCCCGCGTCCCGGTGGCCTGCGGTGCCCCAGCGCCTTCGGGTTCCTGGTTTCCACCCGGCGCCATGGGGCCTCGGCACAGGCGGGGAGGCCCTGGGAAAAGCACGTGCCTGTTTTCGAAGCTTCGTCCCCCGGGCGGGAACTCCCGCCGGGCCTCCGTGCGCCTGGCCACCGGTTCCCGTCTGCCGAAGTACGCAGGCGCCGAAGCTTCTAGACGCCGCCGAGTGGCCGGGCCGCGGGGACACGTCAGACCTACCCACCAGCAACCGCGGCACAAAGTGTGAAGTTCTGGAACGTCCCAGGCCAAGAGGGACAAACTAACAAATGCGACGAAACTGAGGCCCAGGGGTTTGAGTACCTTGCTCCGGAGGCCACACTGTTGTCCGAGCAGGCGCAAAGCCGGGTCTCCTGGTTTCTTTCCACCGAACAGCCAAGAGGACCGCTAGGCGCCCCCCCAGAACCCGCCTCAGAGCTGCGGGTGGGGGCAGCCTAGCACCTGGGCCTCTAGCGGCACTGGCAGCTGCCGCGTGAGGCAGAGCGGCCCCGGGGCGGGACGGGCAGGGTCGGCTGAGGAGAGCGCCTGGGAAGCCCTCCAGCAGTGGTGCCCAGGCCCGTGCAGCGCGGTCTGGAAGCCTCTTGGCTCTGGCCACCGGCCCGGCCTCTCCGGCACGTGCGGGCCCCGCACCCGAGGGGCCACGGCGCTCCCCGGGCGGGTCGGCCTTGGCTCCGCCTTTAACTGGAGGCGCTGCCCAAGGCGGAGCCCGCGCGGGGGCGGCCCAGCACTGCGGTCGGGGGTCTTCCTCCCGGGGCGGCGCCGGCTGGCCGGGCTCGGCGGGGCCCGGGCTGCGCCCTCCCGCGGGCCTTTGCTGAATCGGGGATAATGGGTTTGCTGAAGTGGGAAGGCGCAATGCGCCCGAGCCGGGCTTACGGAGTCCAGGGGGAGGACGCGGCCGAAAAGGCTTTTCTACCACTGGAGCTCGCAGCCCTAAGACCTTGCTCCGCGTGGGACCCTGAGGGAGGGGTCGTTCTCCAAACCCGGCCTCACGTTGTGTTCTCAGGTCTCACACGGAATAAAAAGAATAGGGTGTGTTGGTCACTTCGCAGGAAACTTTTCGTTGTTTCCTTATTTCCTTCCCGCCCGTGGACAAGTTGAACAGCTTCTCGGCCTTCCACCCAGGAGATTTCAGGCCAAACAATCTGGACAGCTCCGGCTCTGGGTTTTCTGGAGGAATCACCCCATCCCTTCCCCACCTCCTTCCTGGTCTTCTCTCAGGGCAAGATGGAACCGTCCTTTCCGACCCCCTGCTGCAAGTGGGGAGTCTTCTTCCCCTGCCAAAGTGAACTGCGTCCTTGTCGACTTTTATAGATTTTATGTTTGCGCTTTAAAGAAACTTCACCATAAGCAAAAGATAACTTGGCTACTTCTGGCAAGGGCCTGAGGGTTTAGAGGGACATCTTAGCACGTGGAAGGAATGACTCGGATCCCCTAGCCGCCGTGAAGCCACCCGGGACAGCTCAGCAGAAAGGAAGGTTGTCTGCTGCCAACATGCAGGACACGGATCGGTTTTTTGTCGTTTTGTTTTCTTTTCCTTTTTGGCTCAGCTCTGAGAGCATTACAGAGCTATCCTTTCCCGCCTCCGACCCTCTTCCCCTCCCCCTCTTCTGTCTGATGCAGGCAATTAGGGTGAAGAAATCAGTGCCAGGTTCCTGCCTCTGAAGAGAAAGGAATTGCTTCGGGAATTGAGTCCTGACACCTGTCTCTGTCCTGGATGGCGAGAGGGGATGCGGGGTCAAAATGCCTGGGGGAAGAGGCCAAGCTGACCGGGAGGGTAGGACACTCCCTCAGAGAACGTTCTCTCAAGACTCCTCTTGCCACGTCCTCCCTCCCTACCGTTTGGCCTCCTGCTTCACACAGGTCATTAACACGCGGGGGTATTAACGCGGGAGTTTCCCTCCTTTTAGGCTCCCCGAGACCAGGACCTGGGGCTGGAATCAGAAGAGCGACACTGACAAGCCGTTCATTAATTTGCATTTATTTTCGGGAAATAATGTAGATAAAGGGGGAGGAGGGGGACTGCCTTACATTTCAAACAAGTAATTTGTGATCTTCACATCGGACAAATCAAATTTACAAATTACTTTCCCACCTACTGGACGAAAAGGCCAAAGCCAAAATTCATACACAGGCGCGGGCTCTCCGCAGATTTCGGAGAATGAAGGTGCACTAAAAACTCACTAGACAAAACAGGGTTGTTTAAAAAGAGAGAAGCCGACAGAGGAATTGGAACTGGGGTTTGGGGCCTGGATGGGTTTGTTTGTTTTTCCATAATGCCGCATTTTTATTTATTTGTTTTCTTTTGTGATTGGTCTCTAAACCGGAACTGCGACTCTGTGCTTGGACCTGATGAAGGGCTCAGTCCTACGTCCCCGCCCAGCCTAGCCCCCTCACTCGTACCCTGACTTGGCTGTTTCCTCCAGACTCTCAGACCCTCCCGACCCTCCGCGCCCAGCTTCCTGGAACCAAAAGGTTCTCTTTAATAAATACACAGAGGGAGAAGGTGTGAGAGGGCAGGTCAGCTTTGCAACAACTGAAAAAATAAAAGCGCCATCGTTTAAGGAAGAGAGGAAGGGGGAGAGGGAAAATATTTTTTGCTTTTGTTTTATATATATGTGTGTATATATATGTATATATATGCTGTATATATCTTAAAGTTCTATTTCCTGGGCGCTAAGACGAGATATGTTCAGTTCAACCAATAGCAACTAAAAAGTTTAAGTGGTCCCTGTAACGGACCGGACTATGTACAGCATTCCCGCCGAGGCGGAAGCTTGAGCCAGTTCTACGCCGGGCGGGGCTGTGCGCGAGAGGCTAGGGGCGCGCTCCTCCCTCGGGCCTTGTCCCCGCGCACCCTGCTGGGGAGGAGAAAACGCCGGGAAGGTCAGGCCTGCAGGCGGGGAGCAGGGGCGAGGGCCTCTGAAGGAGCGGTAGTCTGCAAGCGAGAAACACTTAGTGGTTGTTTTGATTTGGGGTGGAGTGTGGGTGCACTCCAATGGGCAGACACATGCCAGTTAGGGACTCCAGTGTCCAGAAAGAATAAATAAAAGTATAGGTAGGGCTCAAACAGCGAGTCAGAGCAAAGAGCCTCCGAAGTCTGCAAGTGCATAATAACTGCCCAGAAAGACTGGAGGAGAGTGGCTTAGGAGTTCGTTAGGGGTTGAGGAGGAGAGCACACAGCCCTCCCCATATAGAACTTGCGGGCCAAGCCGAGGCACCGGTCCCTTCATCCAAGGGTTGGGCGGGTCTGCACATCCCCCAAACAAGTGGCAGAAAGATGAGGGCGGCAGTGCAGGCAAAGGGCATCTTTTAGGGGCATGAAAATTCAGGTCTGCAGAAGCCGAGGCGAAGGCGGGCGGTGGCAGCAGCAGCAACAGGACGGGGACCACGGAGGGCGCAGGTAGTTGAGTTTCTTCTCCTCTTCCTTCCACTCCTGGCCTCACAAGACCTGGAACCGCCATGAGGCTTGGTCCTTATAGTCCAGACAGTCGGGCGAATTGAAGTTGAGTTTCCAAGCGGAGGAAGCAGCGGCGGCACCAGGCTCCTTGTAATCCAAGCAGTCGGCAGAGTTGAAGGCGAGCCCCGAGCCGCCGTAGCCCTGGTGGTGGTGGTGGTGATGATGGTGATGGTGGCCTGAGGACTGGCTCAACGGGTGGTGCGCATGCGGATGGTGGTGGTGGTGGCCGGCCATCGAGGAGGGTGCCATAGGGCTGAGCTGGTGCGGATGGTGATGCGAGTGCATGGGCGCTAGATATGAGCTGCAGTCCACGCCGCCAAAGTAGGAAGAGGAGGGCGCAGGGTAGCCCTGCCCGTAGCTGCCGCCCTGGCTGTAGGACATGGGGTAAGAGGCTGCGGCCGAGGCGGCGCCTGCAACCGAGCGCTGCATGCACGATGCGTTGCTAGGCGCGGCCAACGGCTCGGGCACTGACACCGACGCGGGCGCTGAGCCCGGCGAGATGGAGGCCGGACTCCAGATGGATGAAGCAGCCGGCGTACTCAACGACGACGGGACTGCCACCGCCGGGTTCCCGGCCAGGCCTGCAGCCGCTGCCGCCACTGGGTTGGCGGAGGCGCTGGAGCCCGAGCTGGAGGATGAGGCGGAGCTGGACACAGCGGGCGGCGTGAACTGGCCGCTGCTTTCCGAGCCCGAGCTCTCCCGCACGGGGGACGACTTCTTCTTGGCTGGGCGGCTCTTGGTCCCGCTCCCGCTTTGCTGCTGCTGGCGGCATTTGGCACGGCGGTTCTTGAACCAGACCTGCAGCGGGCCGAGTGGGGAAGAGGGTGTCAGGAGGTGGGGGGGAGAGCTGAGCTTGCTATTCCCCCGCCTCTTGTACCCACTACCCGGCCTAGGGTCTCTCATCCCTCTCCTACCAGGGCCTCCGCCCCTCCCCATCTCCGGCCAGGCCAGCCCACGTCCCAGTGGTCCCAGCTCCTCCACCCTCCCCCGTTCCTCTGACCAAAGATCTTCCTCTGGCAAACAGGGATGTGCACCTCTCCACCCCCAGCGCAGCTCTGCCCTAGGGCGGAACATTTGCGTCTGTCCAGCCAGAAGTTCAGCCATCTCTAAACTGCTGCTGCTGGCTGCTTCCCAACAGCGTCGTGTATGTTTGGAGGCTCTGTATTCTATGACTAGAGCTGAGGAAACTGCGGAGAGGCATCAAGGAGACCGCAGAGAGTGGGGCAGTCACCAAGTCCAAAGTGGGAGCCATTCGGCCCCAGAAGCACCCCCCCCCCCCGTGGGCAAGGCGAGAATTTGAATGGACGCAGAAGCAAGGCCAGGAGGCCGAACAGAGGCAGTACACTTGGGGGACTGGTGAAGGAAGCCTGAGCAGAATTTCGTTGGGCTTCTTGGCTCCAAGTGGGGAACCAAATGGGGCAAAGTTCTCAACATTCCAGGTTCTTTCTCGGGCCTCGGGGGAAAGAAGACGAGATAAAAGGCCCTTCAGGAGAGTTCTGAGTTGTAATCCAAACAGTATTTTTATCGCAAAAACCAGAAACAGCAAAGCCGGTAGCCGGGTTTTGCGTTCAGCATCCTCCCTGGGCAAAGGAGCGTCTAATCACACCGGCGCCACCCACAGAGTGCACTCCGACAGGGCACCAGGCTCTGGCCAAGCTCCACTCTTCCATTTCCAGGATCCCCCGGATGCAAGGCAAGAGCGGGGGCAGATTTCAAGACCCCGAAGGAAACTGCCAAATCCTGGAATGGCCGAAGAAGCAGGGGCAAGCGTCAGGCCCTCTAGGCACTTTACTTTTGGGAGCCTCGCTTGCCCTCCCGAAATCCTAAAAAAGACTTTCAATACCGAAGGCGCCCTGGGACCAAGGGGCCGAATCCAGGGCTCTAAGCTAGTTACTTTAACTTTGCCCCTCTCCCAGGCCCGGGCTGAGCGCTAGGGGGAGTCTGAGAGGGGCTGCCCAGTCTGCAGGCCCGCCCCACACCACACCACCCTTCCCAGGCCCTCTCCAACCAGCCCCAGGGCCCCTACCCTGACCCCGGAGCCCTGGGCACGCGCACCTGGACTCTGGACTCTGGCAGGTTGATCTTGAGCGCCACCTCCTCGCGCATGAAGATGTCAGGGTAGCGAGTCTTGGCGAAGAGCGCCTCGAGCACGTCCAGCTGCGAGCGTGTAAAGGTGGTGCGCTCCCGCCTCTGCTTCCGCGGGGTGGCTGAGGGGACACGCGGGGGCGCCTCGGGTCAGCGGTGGCCACGCGGACCCACACTAGAGGACGCAGACAGGCCCCTGCCGGGCCCTGTGCGAGGCCGTTGCAAAAGAAAGCCGAGCTCCAAGCGAAAGAAAACCCCCGGAAGGCCGAGCCTGAGAGGCCACAGGTGGGAGAAAGTGCATGTGTGCAACTGGGAACCAGTGTCTTCAAGACTCTAGAGTTGCCCCCTTCCCTGCCTCTTGGAGGTTAAGAAAGGAGAAGTTATACAATCTCCCTTCTTTCACCACCCCCCCCCAACACATCCCCTGGCTGGAGGATGGGGAAGGGGTGCGCAGAAACACCACCTGGAAAACACTTTCCGAGGGAATAAATGGAGGTGAAGGAGTGGGTGCTAGGAAAAAAAAAAAAAAAAGCTGGGATTCGGCTCAAGCCTTCCACATCCGCAGTGCAAAAGTTGGTGCAGACCACCGACGTATAGGACAATTTAATTAGGGAGGAAGAATCCGTCTTCTCCATCTCAGCCAGTCATTTCCATAAGGAAATCTTGGCCCTTCCTGTCAGGGCCTAGAGAGTGTCCAGATTTCCTCATTCAGTATTGGGGGGAAAGGAACAGACACACACAAAGACACACACACACCCACACACACACCCCAAAAACACCACCCATGAGAAATGAATCCGTGGGTCAATGTGTCCTGTGCCGCTGGTGGGACCACAATGAGAGACAGGTTGCCCGTGTGGTCAGGCTGGGAGGACATACCTTGCATCACATCACTGGCCTGGCCCACCTCACCCACCCGCGGCTGTCCTGTGAGCCTGCAACATGCGGTGCTTTGTAGGCAGACTAGCCAACCGGCTCCCTGGGCCTGCTCAGCCACAAAATGTGTGCTCAAACTCAAGAGTCTGGGGGTCCCCAAGATTTGCAGGGGCTGGGGGTGGGGACCGGTGCTCACCCGGGTAGCCCACGGAAGGATGCAGGAGGTCCATGGCTGGCCCGGCCAGGCCCAGCCCGTTCATGCCATATGGGGGTTGTTTGAGGTAAGACATCATGCTAACAGCCGGGTGGAGGCGCCCGGACGGATCCAGGGGGCCTGGGCCAGGCGCAGTGCGGGGCTCCCACTGCGCAGTCTTTCAAGCTCTGTTGCGTCTTGGGGCCCGGCCTATGGAGACAGGAGACACATGTAAACAGTGATTGGGAGCCATCTCGGCTACCTGGTCTTGGTGGAGGCAAGGAGCCTCGGGATGGGGAGGGAACGCAGGCTTATGGAACTTTGCAGGGCGGTCAACTCGGCTCTACAAGGCCTTAGCCCAAAGACGGAAGCTTCTTTGAAAAGTAAGCTTTTCTGGATCGTCATCGCCTCTTTTCAGGCTTGGAATGGATAAAAGACACTCGAAGGGTGTCACTAGGAGTGAGGAGAGATTAAAAAGCAGGGCCAAGCTGGAAAGGTGAGAGCCTGAAACAACGTGGAGTGTACAAGGTCCCAAGTCTAGGCAAAATTCTGGTCCGGTAGGAGCCGGCCTCAATAATACTGCAAAAGCAAACGTTTACTCGGCGCCAGTGAGGCAGGCTGTCCAGGGCATGAGGGGTTGTTTCGTTTTGTTTTTGAAAGCGGGACAAAAAGGTAGAGACTCGGAGAGCTAAGGTGAGGCACTGCGGGGGGGCTAGCAGCACCTGGGCCTCTCTGGGAGGCCTTGCCCACTTAGGAGAGTAGATTCCTTCCAAGGTCTCTGCCACTGGGTCTGGGCCCCAGAGCCCACAGCCACCCCTCCAGTTAACTTCTCAGTGCCCAGCCGCTGAAAGATTGCTCACCGGGAATCCCACCACACCTGAACCGCAGTTACAGGCCCAGGGCCCGCAGAGGCGGCCAGAAGACGCAGAAGGGGCCACGGTAGAGGTGGCGGCTCTAAGACGCGGCGGGAGGTCAGGGGCGCCTCGCCACGGCCGCAGGCCCTTCTTCGCGAACGCGAGCGGGTCCTTCCTTCTGCCGGGTCCTGGCTGCGGACAATGTCGTCCCGGCGGAGGCTGAAAGGTGACCCGCCCAGCGCCCCAAAGGGTCTCACAGATTTGGGAGGCCTCAGTGCAGCGTTCCATGTGCGCCCCACCTATCCTCCTAGATGAACCCGCAGCCCCAGGGCCCTATCGAGACTAGACAACTAGGCCTCGGCAGCGTAGCTCGCGCTGACCCGGGCTGGAAGGTCGAAGCCTCGCTTCCCCGGTTGCCTCCAACCTGAGGCGCTATTCCCAGGGGTAGGAAGTGGAGCTGGGGGGAGTGCGGCTGGGGCCCCAGAGGACCTGTCGCTTCACCCCGCGTCGCGGGAATTCAAAGCAGGCCCGGGCTAGGGAGTTCAGGGAGAGCAGTTAGAACTAAAAAAGTCTCCCGCTCCTATCCTCCAGGACGCAGGGTCTGGGCTGGGGGAACACAGTTTGCAGGGAAGGGGACGAAAGGGAAAGAGCCAGGGCTCGAGGGCCGAAAGAGAACTGGACGTCAAGCCGTGGCGCCTCTGCTAGGCTGCAGCGTGAGTTTTCAAAGACTTTCTTCAAACTTAGCACTTCGGCTCGGTGACTTCGGAGGAGGCGGGGGAGGGGGCGCGGGGCCCAAGCAGAGATCTGGGGTCTCCCGCGCACCAAGAGGGGAGCGAGGCCGCCCCCCAGCCCCGCCCACCTGCCGGGGACCTGGGAAGCGGGGACCCGTTTGAGGAAGGGGAGTTAAGAACGACCAACGCACTCCCGGAGTCCAGGGCGGCCCCACGGCTTTCTCCTTACCTGCCCTCAGCTGCCGGGGCGGCTCACCATCTACCTCGCGCCCTCACACAGACCCGCGGGACAGCCAACCTGCAAAACAGAGCGGCACAGGAATTACTCGCCGGGCCGGACGGTTAGTGTAGGATCCCCGGATTTCTTTCTTTGCCCAACTTCCCTCCTTCCTTTTCTTTCTTTCCAGTGGCTTTGTGCGTGTCCCTCCAGGTTTCACTTTATTGCACACTTTGTTTGCAAAGCCATACGCGTTCCCGAGACACTACTTCGCCCGGGACCGCGCCGAGGGGCCGCAAGGGTTGGGTGGGGGTGAAAGGGGCAGAGTGGGGAGGTGGCTCCCGGTTGCAGTTGCATTCCCGATACAACGTGGAGGCGGTGGGGGCTAGGGAAGTCCTGCAGAGGCACTTTGCAAACTAAATAAATCAAGCGATTTACCTTGTCGGAGTGGCTTGTCTTGCCGGGTTGTTTAGGTGATTGGAAATGTAGCCTGATGAAGATTGATCACCTTTCTACTGCCCTCCCCGGGTATGTGAACGCGAGGTGAGTGCGTAACGGGGCTGTGCTGCCAATCCCCGGCCCCGCGCGGGCTGAGTGACAGGGAGCCGGGCAATGGCAGCACGAGCCGGGGGTTACCTCCGCGCGCCCCCGCCCTCCTCCGCCCCCTGCACCCCGCCCTCACCGCCCGCCCGCCCCGCCCTGGTCGCGCGCTAACTCCAGGGCTTGGCTGACAAACGCCGCGCAGAGCGAGGCGAAGACAGCGAACGCTGCGCCAGAGCCCCGTCCGCAGAGGGGGACGCCGGTCTCGAGGCTGCCCCGGGGTCCCCGCCCTTCCCTCGCCCTTTCGGCGCCCGTGAGGGAGTGGCAGAGAGGAGACGAGGTGCTGGAGAACCGGTTCCCTCGCTCTCCCGCGCGCCACTCGGCTCAGCGGCCCGGCTGTGGGCTCGAGGACTTCGGAGCCGCGGGCTGGAGTGGAGGGGGCCCCCGGCCCCTCTCTCGGCGCCGCGGCCCCAGCGTCTTCTTTCACCGCGCCACCACCTGCAGACGGACGCCGCGGGCGGCTCGTGCTGGCACAGGCTACTTTGTCGAGCGCAGGAGCAGCTCTGGGTGCGCAGATCCCGCCTCGGCGCCTCGGGACTCCCGCGCCCGGGAACGGCACCCGCTGGGGAGGCACCGCCACTTACCTGCTCCTCGGCGTCTCCTGAGGTTCACAGTTCCCACGAAGGGTGTTTGCAAATCTTAAACGCTTCTTCTCAAATGTTGGAGCTCAGCGTCTCCTATCCCTTACACACACACACTCTACTTCTGAATCGAAAGATTTTAATAGGAAACTTTCTCTTTCACACTCTGTCTCTGTCTCCTTCCCGGTCTCCTTTTACGAGGGACAATCTGGCGGAAAACGTGGCCACAGACCCCTGCCCTCAATTTCTTTCTCACACACTGCAGAAGGAGCCTTCTTGGGGCTGTTTCCCCGGATTGTTCGTACTGGCGAAGCCCATTTCCCAGCCGAACAAACTTCTCAAACCCGTGTACCTGGTGGACTTTTCAGAGCGCCCCCCCCAAAAAAAGGTGTTTTCGCCCCAACCCTGAGCAAGGCGATTCTTGTAAGTGGCACCTCTTTCTGAATATTAGGCACCACTTTACTCCCTTTCGAGGAATTCCTACCCCTTTTTCCTAATCCCCCCTCCCCTCCATCCCAACAGGCGGAGTGAAAAGTTTGAACAGGAGTAAGTGTGAGGGCGAGTCAAGGAGCCGCCAGGCGCAGCGCGGTGGGGAGCGCCAGCGCAGCCGGGGCCTCGAGGTCGGGCACCGAGAGCGGACTGGGCTCTGGGCGAGGAGGAGAAGGAAGGGGGAGCCCGCTGAGTGAAAAGGGACCGCGGCCGCCGCTCATCAAAGTGCTTCCCCCTCCCCCAAGCGACACTTTCCTTTGGAGTCCGAATAAAATACGGTAACAGAATATGATGGAGGGCACACTGTTTCCTTAACTGCTTCTCAAAGGACCCGGGAGATCTTCTTAGGACCTTTAATAAGGCTTTGGTCGGTTCTTTTGTTGATCTCTCAAAATCAACTCCTTCTAATTGAAGTTGGAGCTGAAAGCGAGCTAATGTTCAAAGAAAGTGGCCGCCAGACCAACGAAATTACATTTTTTTTTTTTTGGACGATGAGGGAACATCTAATCAAAGGGGCAAAGGAGGAGGGGTGGGAGTGGGGGAGTATGAAGGAGAAAAGGAGGTTTTACAAGATCCTTCTCTGGTTCACAAAAGTCAGCGACACGGGCGCTTCTCTCCAGAACAAAGACACCGCAGCCCATTCACAAAAGGGAAAGAAAGACAGAGAGAGAGAGAGAGAGAGAGAGAGAGAGAGAGGGAGAGAGAAAACAATAAAAGAACGAGAGAAAAGGAAAAACATGAGAAAGAAAAAGCTTTAACAGGAAAAGAAACTGCGCAGAGCGCAGCGCTGACCCGGGCGGGGACACAACTTAGGCTCTCGCAGGCCCCCGCGGGGAGTAGCCCGCGAGGCCCGCGGTTCGGAGCCCCTGTGACGGTGCAGAGGTTTAAAGAAAGAAATGAAATACACCCCGCCTTCAGTTCTGGGGAAAGGCGCGGTCAGGAGGGCACTAGTTTTGGGGGGAAGACTGAGCGGGCGCCCTGGGGTGCGCTGCGGCCGCGTTTGCGTCCCCAGCCGGCGCAGCCCAGCCCAGGCCTGCGCGCTCTATGCCTGCGTATAGCCCTCTGCTGCCGGGGTGCACGCCCTAGTCCCAGCCCCGCCACCTCTCGCGCTCCTGCTTGCTCCGGGCCCTGTTTCGCCTGCAGCTGCAGCGCCCGGCCGAGGTCCCGCGCCGCGAGGTGGGGCGGCTGTGCGCGCTGGAATGTGCTCAGGCGGTCCCCAGGGCCCGCCACACGGGAGTCCGGCGCTCTCGCTTCCAGATGCTGCCACGGTCTCGGGGAAGTTGGGAGGTATCAAGTAGCACAGGTTTTTTTCCCTTCTAATGAGAGTATTTATCTAATCCCAAATTGCAGGCGAATTTTCTTAATGCTCAACCCATAAAACCCCGGGATTAAGAAAAGAAAGAGAGGGAGAGGGAGGAGTGTAGAGAGGAAGAGAGACTGAGATGAAAGTTTCTTGTACGCGTCGTGGAGGACTGAGGAGGCCGTCGCTAGGCAAACGTCCAGGTGGGAGACGCTGGGCCAGAAGCCGCGACCGTTCCAGCAACGGCCGAAGGGCGGGGAGGAAGAAGAGGGGGCATCAACGAGGGAGAGCACGTCCACCCAGCTCCAGGCCCCCGGGCCGAGGAGGGGGCGTGGGAGCTGGGCCCTGGGACCCGGATCCAGCACCCAGGTGACCTCGAGGCCGGGCCGGACTCTGGGGGACACTTGGGACAGGGGGAGGGGTTTGGCGTCGGGGTCGTGGGATCCTGGCCAGGGGCGGAAGTTCTGCACCGGCCCGCGGGCCGTGCCCAAACCAGCCGGCTGCCAACGCTCCTCCTCCTTAGCGACCCCTCAAGCCCACAGTTTCTTTAACCTGCAGCGCGGGCTTTCTGGTTCCGGGCCTCTCGGCATTCTGGCTTGCGCCTGCGCTCGGCCGGCAGCCTCTGGGCACAACGCGACGAAATGGGGACGCGGCGCCTTCGCCGCGGGCCTGACCCCACTAGTCCCGGGGGTCCGCGCTCCGCCGCCGCTGCGGGGCGTGCGGGCGCCACAGAGCAGCCCAAATGGAAACCCCGCGAGGCTCGGGACTGGGGCAGGGGGGACAGCAAGTGTGGGGCTAGGGAAGGTTTGTCACTTGACAGGTCGGGAGCGGCATGGGGAGCCGCCTCTCCGCGAGGCTCTTCGGGAGGGAGGGTTCCCCGAATCCAGCGTAAATGGGATGGTGATGCTGGCCGCCCAAGCCCCAGGCAGCTTGGGGCTGGTGATTTCGTCCGCCTGCTTCCCTGGGGTTAGAGTCGGGTTCTGAGAGCTTTCCCCAGAGAGCGGCAGCCAGCTCCGCTCCCCTGCTTGAATAAAGAGGACAAATACTCAATTTCATTTAGTTCTGATAACTTTTCAGTAACTTCTTAAAATCCTTTTCATGAAGAAATCTACCGTAGCAAGTTTTATCATTTTGAAAGACTGGCAGTTGAAGGCGGCTGCGTACTTTTGGAACGGAATTTGTGTGTGTGTGTGTGTGTGGAGATTGGTGTGTATACGTACATGTATATGTTTATGTGTGATCTAGGCTAAAGTATAAACGCTAGTGGACTGTTCTGTCTCTAGACTTGTTGAACGAGCTTTCTTTGTTTCAGACACCTCTGTAGAGGAGTGATGGCAACTACTGTAAAATCGCCAGTATTTTTCTATAGCCTAGAACTTCTTATTAAAAGTTCTCTTTCTTTCATCTCATACACACACACCTGCACACATTTACCCTCCCTGCCAACAATAACCTTCCTTTCACTTCAGCACCTACAGACTTGCATGTTATCGGAAGTCATAATTTTTCCTCATGAGTGCAACATTAACAATCGAAAATAACATGGAAAATTCATCAAGATATTAGCATTTTTTCAGTGCTGTGGAATCACAAATTTCCTCAAATCTTTAACAACAGAGATGACCCTTTACAAAAGATGATAGTTTACACTGCTTATGAAAATATGACTAATTGCTTTTCAGTTCGCATTCGTGTGTCAGCAGGGCCCCTTTGGGATGGTATAAACTTACTCAGCTCCAAATACAGCCTAGTATCCTGCTCTGCATTCAAGAGGACCATTTTTTTTCCACATGAAAAGTCTTATGGATACAGGAACTTCTCAAACCAGTGTCAAGTTTTCATTGTAAGGAAATAGCAGCAGTGGTTAAGGTAAGAAAGTTTCTGCTTTTATTGAAAATTTATATATGACTCGGTATTGTAATAAATAAACAGATAACCATTTCCACAAAAAAATGACAGTGCTATGCTAGAGAAGAAAATATTAATTGGGGGATTTACTCATAGTGGCAAGACAGACTTTTATCGATACAGAATAAATATTAACAGCATTCTTGAGCCAATGTTCAGACCCAACAAAATGTAGGAACCAAGCTAGATGTAATAAATAATTATCCAGAGAAAAAGATGGCGCATTCTCAGATGATAAGACCGTCTTTGTAAACTGATGCATGTCAATTAGGCCCATCCTCACAGCTCACCTTCAAATCACAGGACTGTCTCAGGCTACATTAAAGGGCCATACTCTAAGGAAAACAGAGAACAGGAACTCTATTATCCTTACAGTGAAATGCAAAACAACTGCAGAAAATCCCACTAGTAAATAGAACACAGTTTAATAAGTAGATTGAATATGCTCTAACTATAAAATTTAGGTAACAGAGTCAAGTGTTACATATGGCAGGACTGGAATAATCATTCATGACATTTTTCTTATCCCCCACTTACCCCCCTCCCACCATTATGCTATTAACAACAACAACAACAACAACAACAACAAAAATGTTCCAAATTTTTTTTTCCCATCAAAAACTGAGGGAAAATAATGAGGGGAAGGGTTTGCTTTTCTTTCTTCTTTGAGCACTCTCTTGAACACTCAATACCAATCACTCACAAGGTGTCTGTGCAAATTTATTTCACATGATTTCAAGGAAATGATTAACTCACACAAAAAAAATAGCCTTAAACAAAGCTCTTTTGGAGTTCTATTATCTGGAAAGGAAGGAGGAAAAGGGGTGGTGGTGGTAAAGAAGTACAATCCAGCCCCCCAAAATGTTAAAAGTTTTACATCAACAACGAGTCTGACATTTTCTGGTCTGGGGACCCAAGACTAAAATGTTGGGAGATTCTGGTCCGGCTGCTATTGAAGAACACATTTCTCTTCTTTCTTGGCCATCTTGCCTTTGTTTTGTTCCAGAGTTCGCTCCAAATGCTCATCTTCTTCTTCAGCCCTGGAAGTCAAACGGAAACAAATTTATTTTTTCTCCGTGGAGGGCAAAGCCGCACTCGCCTCTCACCTCGCAATCCGAGCCCCAGCGGGAATGAGACTCCTGGGGCCAGCGGGGGGCTGCCCCGGCCCACCCGAGACCTCCGGACTGAACTTTCCGAAAACTTCATGGCCCCTCAGCTGGCGGCGGAGACTCGACCCCCGACCCCACCGCCCACTCACTGCTTCTCCTGCGCGTCCAGGTCTCTGACGAGCGCGTCGCGCTTGTTCACCAGGGCCACCAGCTCATCCAGCAGGAGTTGCTCGCGTCGCTTCTGGGCCTCGGTCTTCTGCCAGTCTGCAGAGGACGGGAGGCTCGTTACCCACCCGCAGAGCCTCGGCACACCCTCCCCCCCTTCCCGCCTTTTCCAATTTCCTTGTATCTCTCCGCAAACCATGTTAGAGAGCCACTAGATAGTGTTTTATGGGGAGTTTGGCCGTCGTGATGAGGATTTCACCCTAAAACCCAACTTTCTAAATCTTTCCCGCAGATGGAGATGGCTACCGCTGAGCTGGAACCTGCAAAAGAGACCAGGTGTGAGCGGGTGGCCAGCCGGAGGTGCGCACCTGATTTCACCAAAGGGGGGGAGGGAGTTGGAGGCCCAGAAAAGATCGGCCGGAGGGTTGGTGGTGGGGGAAGTGGGCAAATGAGGGGGCGGGAAGCAGAGATAGGCGATAAAAATCAGTCTGAAAAGGCTAGAGAATCTGCTTGAGAACCTATCCTCCTCCCCCACCCCCATGCTCACCCCATACAGCCCATTCTTCGCTAATTTCCTCTTCGCTCTATTTTAGCAGTTGGATGTATCTCACACTGGGCGCCATATGCTTCACAATAACTTTAAAAGTAGTGAATCGGCTAATTAGCATTTTTCTTTGAAGTAAAAAATAAATTTGCTCTGCAATATTACACTGCAGCTCTCGATCGCATCACAGCCAGTTTTCTTTTGGAGAGGTTTGCTGGGTGGTTTAAAATCAAAGCACTTCTGCAAAGGAAAAATTACATACTTCTTTTTGAAACCCCACGTTAAAGGTTGGAAAATCCGATGGGCAGTGCTCTTTCCATGCATAAGGGCAGGTTTTTTGAAGGTTTTAGGACCCAATAATATATTTGCTAATCTTCGCTGGTCTGATAATTTCCTTAAGATGAGCAGCAGTTTCGTTTAATAAAAACAGGACCAAATCGAACATTTAAAGCACTTTTAAAACCAAAGCCAACTGCTCTCTGGCCAGACTGTAAGGGCTTGTAGCTGTCAATCAACCCCCAGTCTACCCCGCCTCCCTCATTAGGAAGGTAAACAATGAAAAGAAGAAGTAGATGATGAGGCAGATAGCAGAACAAATGAGGACCTAGAGGGAAACAGGACACCAGCTTTAAAAAAAAAAAAAAAAAAAAATCCAGGGCCACTGACTCATGCAGCCCCCTCCCCCAGCAAATGCACTTTCCAAAAAACAGAGAGGAGTGCAATCCTTTTGGGTTTCTCTCTTCTCTCTCCATTGCCCTGGGCAATCATGTTAAAACTCACATGGCTGGTGCTTATTCAGATAAACCTAACAATGCACACCGCTGGTTACCATGTGAATCTTCACAAACCACACAAGAATGTGCTGGTTCAAATCCCCCCGACCCCCTCCAAAGCAAAATTTATTCAAGACAGCAAACTGCTCAGCAGCTTTATGAAAGCAAATGGTGCTAGAGGGAATTCTATCTTGTATTTACAAATTAAAAATTAGATGCATCATCATGCAATATAGGTTAGAATAGCAGCAAAAAGCTAGAATGGTTTATTCAATTTTATCACTATTCCTTTCTTTATAAGCTCAAATACATACATACATATATATGAAACATGCCATGTGTTAATTAGCCACATTTGATACAAAACTCACAAAATTAGTACATTAAATAACTGGTCACATTACATTCCTATAAAAAAAGAAGTGAAATATTCTATAGCTTGAGGAGTAAAGAAACTATTACTATGTAAAGTTTTTTTCTGAATATAAGAATTTTAAAAAATAATAAAACAACAAAATTGAAGAAAAGCCATATCTATCACAATTTTGTTCTTTGGATTTAAATGCAACTGTGGTCAGGAAAGCTAGACAATTTTCTAATTTGGTTCTTGTTCTTAATCAGTCTTATTCTACACAGCAGCAAAATTAATAGACACTCCAGTTGGAAGGATCTTTAAGGTCATCTAGTCTAATTTCAGGTAACTGTAGTTCCAGAAATATTAACTCAGAGAAAAACCTGCTAAATTTGTAAAAGATTTGTAACTAAATTTTATAATTAGTAAGACTACCAGTTTTGATGAATATTAATTTTTCCACTTTTAACCTCAAGAAATCATTCAGATTATAAGCTTTATAATTATTTACTTCCAAAACATTTTGATAAAAGCTTCACAACTGGGAAATAAATTTCCTCCACCATACACTTAAAAAATACAATTAAATGGAAAATTACAAAATTTTCTGAAACCAAGAAAAAAATAAATTTTAACAAAGGACATATAATTTTCTTAATTAAATTGTTCCTTTTCTGTACTTAACCAGTCACTTTTAAGGCTTTAATTAATAATTAGAAATATCAAGATAAATAAAGCTTTAACAATATGGATGAGAGAAAACTTTTATTTTTTAACCCCTGAAGTACCGAATAATTTAAAAAATCTTAACTTTTTCCTAGCTCAATACTGACATTTTCTGTAACTGTAACAAAAACATTTTTAAGGTTATGAATATTTAGGTTATTTTCATCATTTCACAGTCAAATTTAACAGAGTAGAATTTAAAATGTTACAGCATAAATTTAAGGATTTTTCATATTAAATTTGTCATTGCTATGTTAATATTTATCTACAAAATATTAGTCAATTGTAGAGGAAACAGCTATGTACAGTGAGTATATTTTATACTAGCAGAACTACTTTTACTTTGCATTTGCTTTCTCACGGGAGTAAATTTATACACGCACACACACATAATTGAATGCTGATTTGGGAAATTAAACTATTTTGATGATTTTTTTAAAAATTAATAATCCCTTTCAAATTGATCAAGATCCATATTTGTATGTTCATGCCTAAATTTAAAAAAATTTTAAGTCCCCTTTTAGTAGCTTCACCTAGATGTAATGTCATGTTTTAAAAACCTGCCTGTAAGTTTATGTGTTACCTGTTACGCATTTTAAGAAAGGATTATTCACCTATAACACCAGTCACAGCTAGCTAGATACACTGACTTTGACTTGAACAGACTACAATGTGGCTTCTGATTAATTTAAAGATTCCAGTGTACTTCTTCTACAAAAGCCATATCCTCTTGCAACAAATAGGATTAAGTTTTGATGCTGCATTTGAGCCAAAGTGTTGAAATAAAGAGATTCTGTTTATGTCCATCTGCACTGAGCTGTTTTGTTAATTTAAAAATCTCTTTTTTTATATATAGGGCCAATTATTCATTCCCCGATTCAGTTTATTTGCTGAAGTTGATAATTACCTTGGAAAAAAGGCAAAAGAAATACCTATAAACACTTTGATAGAAAGGACCTAAAGTTCTTGTAGTAAACCTTCAACCTTGCCACTATAAATAAGCCTGGCACTTTGATGAAAATTAACACTAGTTTTGTAAAGAGCACATTGGGGGATTGCAGTCAAGTCTTATCTTTAGTTCCAGTCAACTAGCAATCCTGAAAGAGTTTGCATCATCATCAGAGCAGGCCATTTGATAGGATTCTACTGCTGTACCTAATCAATCTATGGAAGACTGTGGCTGTGCTGTGTAACAAAGCTAAAATAGATTTACAAATGGGGTTTTAGGGGATAAGCTCCTCCACAGGATTACATATTGATTTTAAATATAAAAAGCTTATCATATAAACCATAACTACAAAAATAGTGAACCTATGCATAAATCCCTTTAGAAGAGCACCCACTTCAAACTCTAAGCCAAGAATAAATCAAGATGTACAAAATCCTAGAGGAGATCCATTTCTTGTGCAGAAAATGAACACACCACTTTCTAAAAGCCCACCCCAATGTGTGCAGAAATGAATTTATCTTTCCTGAGGGGGCATTAAATAATCTGGAACAAAAAAACTATAGGAAAAGTATCTAAAAGATGTTTGTTAGCTTAAGGGATCCTACAACTTAGCTCAGTAGAGTGAAACTCCTGCTATGAAAAACACCTCGAGGAAAAAAAAGGCAAAAAACAGGCCAAAGTGATTATGGATTTTCAGAAGAATGGATATATTGAATTTTTTTTCCCCTCTCAAACCAAGCTGTTAATATTTCTTTCAATGTGCTATGTGGCTATTAACATTCTGTGCTTTCTCCTAGTGAATGGTTTCAGGAGCAGATTTATTTGAAAAGATTTTAGTTTATTTATTATGAAAACCATCTTATGGCTACCTAGTAGAAGAGATGGGGACAAAAAGAGGAATGAACCTTACAACAAAGGAGAGCAAAACAACACCAAATAATGTTGCCTATTCATGTGTTATTCTGTGGGTTTTAATATTCCAAAAGGCTACTGAACTGCATGTGTATACATTCTAAGGGCTGGCTCAGAGGACAGTGTGTTCACAGAACTGATCATCACGACAGTCAGTACCTGTCTAGGACAGCCCAGGCCATGCACTGCCCAGGCTAGTGGGACAGGCCTCTTACTAAGAAAGTGCCTTTATTTGTCATCAACAAGCTACTTCTTTCCTCAAGTCTCTTCTGTCCCTCAACCAGCAACAGAAACTGGCACAATCACATATGAGACAATGATCTTAATTAAAAAATAAAACAAAATCCCAAAAAACTACCAACTGTATTAAAGGGGTTTGAAAAAGAAAAACACTTCTTCCCCTCCTTAAAAAAAATATGACTTTGTACTGATATGTACAAGAAGAACAGGCAGATAAAATGTTCAATGATTCGTGACTGTAGGTTTGGTATATAGACACAGGACTACCATAAAACTGAGATCTTTTGTATGTG